GATTCAAAGAGAGTTTATTAAAATTATTGATAATGGTAATTGATCTGTTTAAATATTCTGTTTATTTTTTTGTTACTAATTTATACACTTTTATAATAACTTATATTTCATTTATTCTAATTGACAAACAGCGTGGCAACATGTACCACACCAGAGAATAGGCATCACAAATCTGTTTGAAAAACTTGAAGGATTAGCAATAGCTTATCCAATCCCTATTACTTCACCCGCTCCTTCCGGTCTTTTACCCGATAAATCATTAGACTTTGATGGGACTATTACTTCAAAGAATAAAAATTCTTTGATGCCAAAATTCAGCGACGGATTTTCAATTAATGATGATGATGAATTAATTGATACTGTAAAGTCTCTTGAAGAAGGAATTAAACTTCATCGTAATAGAAATTTTGAGGAAGCTTGGAAATGTTTTGAAGACAATTCAGAGCTTGGTGATCCACTGGCAAAATATTGGAAAGGTTATTACTTATATGAAGGTTATTTTGTTGAACAGAATAAAGAGCAAGCAAATTTACTTTTTAAAGAAGCTGCTGATAATGATATTCCAGATGCTCAATATCGGTATGCTGTTTCTTTGTATCCTGGAGTTAGAAGTGAAACAATACGTAGAGAATTTCTACATTATTTAAAATTAGCTGCTGATAATAAGCATGCTGATGCAATGCGGAATTTAGGCGATATTTATGTTAAGGGAAAACTTAAAGTTGTCCAAAATAAAGAGCTTGGCTTAAAGTATTTGAAATTTGCAGCTCAAGAAAATGATGCCCAAGCAATTGAGATATTGAATAAATGAAATATAAGTTATTATAAAAGTGTATAAATTAGTAACAAAAAAAAATAAACAGAATATTTAAACAGATCAATTACCATTATCAATAATTTTAATAAACTCTCTTTGAATCACTTCGTCATTAGGATTAATGAATTTTCCGAATAAAAGTTTTTCACGTTTACCACTTAAAACATAATTTGGTATATCCTTAAAAGTCAAATTAGCATACGGAATTTTTTCGTAACAAAGTTCCCAAATGAGCATTCCGAAGCTAATTAAATACAAAAAGATAAATATCAATAAAATATAGATCATCTAAATATCTTAATGTGTAGTAACTATATAGTTATAGATAACTAGGATTCTGTAATGTTCAAAAGATATTAATTCATATGAGTACCTGAAAATTTCACAATTAAAAGTATAACGTTTTTTATGCTTTGCAAAATTCAATTCCTGATATTTCTCTATTTGTTCAGGAGCCATCCAGCGAATAACATTGATTAATTGATCAGAAAGATTAGTTGTAGTATCAGCATTCGTCTCACGAGCATATTTAAAATTTCCAAGTTTTGGATCCAAGCCTCGTGTTACCTATAATTTGATACGATACTTAGTGTTAGCGACTAATAATTTTATAATTTTAATTATATTTTAATTATAATTTTAAATATAATTTAATTATACATACCAGAACATTTTCACATCTAATATCATGATGGAAAATGTTTACTTCACGTAAGAATAAGATGGCACGACAAATATCACGAATCATTTGTATTTTTCTAGTCCAAGCGATATCATAATTGTCATAAAGATCTTTTAAGCTTCTATGTTCAGCCCATTCAGATACCATAACTTCACGGTTGTCAATATCTGAGAGACCGTAAAAGCGTAGAATGTTTGGAGATAGACTTAATTTTCCGAGGATTGTTAATTCACCTTGACGTTTTTTAGAATCTTCGATAGGTTTACAAGCGACCTCAAAACCTTTATAAAATTTTTTCTGAAGAGGACGATGTGAACCACGAAAGTCGGTACTTTTTGGAAAGGGAGGATTAACTAGTTCCTTTGCGTCAATTGTTGGCACAGTGATTTCGCCTGATTGTTTTTTATCAATTTGAGATTTTATGATGGAAATTTCTTGAACTACCATATCTATTTTACCTCCAATACCATTTTCAAGGTTTTCAATTTTGCTATTGATACCATCCTCAAGTTTTTCTATTTTAGTAGTGGCATTTTCAATACCATCTTCGAGTTTTTCAAGAGTCTAAAATTAAACAAGTATCTTAATAAATACTTAATATTGATAAATGAATAATATATAATTACAGTTGTACACACCTCTTCGATATCCTTTAAAGATTGGTCAACTTTTCGAGATTCAGAATCCCTTTCTTCTTTACTAACGACCACAATAGCAAAATGTAAATCATTCATACAGGCATCATACTCTTTAGTTAAATTATCATATTGAAATTTAACATTTGTTGCACTAAAAAACTTTCTATAGCCTTTAAGTTTTGAAACTTTAATTGTAAAATCCTTAATATTTTTCAAATTGATTTCAAATCTTTTGAAAGCATAGAAATAATCCTGATTACAAAAATATTTTTCATTCTCTTCTTTTCTCCTCATCATTTTATCCATAGCATATTCAGCAGCTTTAACTCGCTCTACCATTATTAAACAAATTTCTTTGTTACATTCTGAATCCTCATAAACTTGGTATATTTTTTGAAATAAAATTGTTATCGAATTGATTACTGGAATGTAGCAGATCATAACTTCGGTAGTGGTTTTAAAAGTAGATATTGCTACATCTTTAAAGCTTGGATATAAATCTGGTGCTGTAGATTCTTTTTCATCTTTGACAGAATTTTCTTCAGACATTATAAATGTGTCAAAATAGATATATCGATGAATTAAATAAAATAAATATAGATTAATTTCATAAACAAAAATTTTAAATATTCTCTTTCATGAACGTGCGTGTGTACGTACGTACGTACGTAAGTTTAAAATTTGAATTGTGTCTAATGATAAACAGTTACGAATTCCTGTTAAATTATTAAATGTTTCACAAGTTGAAATGGATTTTGTACTTTTTAAAGAATAAGTGTAACCTCAAACCAACCTCAAAACTCTATTTTGTCATAATTGCTAAAAAATTTTTTTGTTAATAAGCTTAAATTGAAACCAAGATATAATTAATAACTTTTTTATCACAGATAATGTTCTGCTTCGTTTCTCAATTTACATTGATTATTTATCAAAGTGGGTCATTAGTAAATTTGAAATGAATTACTTTATTTCTCAATCGGTGAAAATTTACCAATACAGTAATAAAATTTATACATGCATTATATTATGATTTTTTAATTACGTAATAAATTAACATTAAAAATGTTTATCGATTTTTATATTCATATTAATTGTTTATCGATTTTTACATTTAACGTGTAAAACGCATCCACAACGTTTCGTACATAATAAATTGCTTCTTCAACAATAACAATCTTTGGTATCGCGTTTGTTTTTTGACAGCAACAACAATCTTTGTTATCGTAGTTTGTTTTTTGACTGCAATAACAATTTGCTTGATTTTTTTTGGATTGATTTCTTTGAAATGGATTCTTTTCAATTAGAAAAAATTTTTTTTTGGTACAAAACTATCAAATCGATAATTAAGTTTTATATGATAAAACTAGCTCTCAAACCCGGGCGATGCTCCGGGGCTCAGGCTCAACTTTTTTTAGTCTTAAATTTTGTAAATTTAAGTGAACCTAA